CCCCAAAACCCCAAAACCCCAAAACCCCAAAACCCCACAACTTAGTGATTTAAAATATATTTTGGAAATTAGGGCTTATAAAATCAAATAATACTTTCAAATTTTAAATTAGTGAGTGCCTATAATGGAGGGTAAAAATTGAGTTTACCAATAAAAATAATTATAGATTAGTCTTTGAATATTGAAGTCTCTTCATTTGATAATTTACTGAGTGTGTTGAATAAAAGTATCAATGTCACAACTGGAGAAAGTGTTTATGCAATAGAATAAACAAAATTGCTGGAATAGGATTTTTAAATTAAGAGACAGCAGCTTGTACAGAATCAGATGATGATGCAGGCTTTAATGGATATAAGAACAAAGCTACCCTAAAAGATTTATGTTTAAATCATATAAAGAATTGCTTTGTAGGCTAATAAAAGAATACTTGGAGGCTCATAGTAAGCACTAACTGATAAGGAAGTCTAGGATTTTCAAAGGGTAAATAATTTTTGTGTGTATTTGGCATTAATTATGTTATAGCTTAAAAATTAAGTAGAGTATGAAATTGTCCCTGAAATTGAACAATACATTCACAGTATCTCAAAGAATATTAAGAAAATCATATAAGTAGGAGGGACTTCAGGAGACAGCAATTAGACTCTATCTGAATAACTTAAACAACTCAAAGTATCTATTGATATATAAAATACCATTAGGTTGAGACAGAAGAACTAAAACTAAAAGTTGCTAAGCACAAAGCTGAGAAATAGAAAAGAGTTTGGGAGAATTAAGATTTGGATATATAGATAAAAGACTTAGTTGAAAAAGTTGGGAGAGGCTATGTACTAAATAGTTTATAGCCATATTAAAATGAATAACTTCATTAAGTACAAACAGAAATTAATGCATTAAGATTATAAGATGAGTAATAAAAGCTTTTATTCATATTCATCTGTTTAGGGATTAGAAGAACTAATTTTAAAGCTAATTTTATAATGAAGAATAGAGTTAGGCTTAACTGAAAGTAAAGCAAATCTTAGAAAAGAGAATATTGGAGCTTAGTGGACTCAAAACTTAGCTTCATTAAAAGCTAATAGCATATGGCTTACCCCAAAACCCCAAAACCCCGTAATGACAAGATCTACTGTAATCATGAAAATGATGACATAAAATATTAATAAGATAATATTTTAAAAGAGTTAGAAAATGAATGAAAAATATACTAGGAAAAAAGAGACACTCTCAATCAATGATAACATAATCTACTTGTATAATGGCGATCCATTGTATGAATTTTGTATCCAGGCTATACCCTGCTACTTATTCTTTATCGCCTTTGCAATTAGATATATGGCAATAAAGGACCTTGGGTTCCCGAAGAGATTATCATTTGGCTATTTACTAATTCTGAAATTAGTGTTGACTATGGGAATAATGCTTGTGAGACTTCTCTAGATTTTAGCGGCTTTTTAAAAGGAGGAGTATTGGCTTTCTCATGCGCCATTTTATTCTTTACTATATATCCAGTTTATTGCAGCACATGGACTTTCCTTGTACCTTCTAGTTTTATAGCATTTGAAGCGATTACCCGAGGTATGTTATTGCTAAAATCTATTCTGGGGAATGAGCTTGGCTGCTTCTATTATATTTATTAAAGTCCAGGCTGATAATCTCTCCATAATGTTTGATGTTTCTCTGATTATGCTTAAGACTATCCTATTTATGGTTGGTTTTATCAAGCGAAGGACCTATGTAGATTTTTCAAATTCATCTAGACCATTAATTAGAGAAGATGAATGGGCAATGAGTGGTATTGGCTATTCTGAATTATCTATTCTGAGCAAAAAAACAGGTACAATTGCTAAAATTAACGACAAAAGTATCGATTTTAAATTTAGAACAAAGCTTGTAAGTTACTAGGGTACTATCTTATTCGAATTCAGAGTATTTCTTCCAAGGTATTTGTATGGGGGAACTAATGATTTAGAGTAAGCACTTGGGTCTGATTATCTAGGAGCAGGATAGTATATACTTAAGAAAAGCTTAACTGACTTTTTCACTTTAAGTTCTCATATCAATAATAAATTTGGGAGAGATGCCCCCAAGTTAGATTCATAAATTTTTAGAAATAGATTAAGAGGTGATCAAACTAAAATAATGACCAAGAGTATTAAAATTTTCGAGGACTATATGAAAAAGCTAGGAAAAAATTATATATTTTGGGATGAGATTTTTCTGAGATTCCTGAAAATTTATGATTCTAGACTTTAGAAACGACTAAACGGCTATTCTGTGAATTCCAAAGATAAGGAATAAGATAATTAGGATTAAATTAGCAGGCTATACCAAAGCATATCAGTCATTGATAACTATGAAGGAGACCAAAAGGATGATAAAAACTTGCTAATACAAACCTAGAATGAAATATTTACAATTGCTCATCGAAATACATTCGCTGATATCTTTTTCAAACTTATTGATATCGATTTTGAGAGAGTAAAACTTAAAATTAAAATCTAAGAATCAGAATGGCAAATCACCAGAAGAAGAGATTAATGGAATGAAATTCTTAAATTATCTGGGCATTGCTCGGATATTGAGTAACTTAGCAGAGAAGTTAATGATAAAGGACCAAGTATTGAACTACTATTCTTTATTGATTACTTTAGTAACATGAATAAATCTCAAGTCGATTATGCCCATCATCTGTTTCAAACAAACGGCTATTAGCTTTAGTCAGTTATCATCTTGAATTCAAAGTTTGAGGTAGATGAACTGGGTCAGAGTGTCCAGAGATTTGACTTAGCTTTTAACATTATGATAATCAGTATGCAAAGGTTTGAATTGCTATACTTAAATAAGTCATTCAAAGACATTAAGAAATTTGTTAAGCAAGTAAGATCTGAGATGAAATTTGATGATTGCAAGCTTGAATTTCCAATCAGAGGACAAAGTTTCGTCAGGTCAATTCAAGAACAGACTAGAGTTGTTACCTATCTTGTTGAGTTGTTTAATGATCAAGATGTTAGACAACTTGACACTTCTATTTAGTTCCTTTCAGATATTGAGAATCAATATGACAAGGTTTATTACAGGCATACTAACACAGGGGGAATGAGTGGCCACCTGATTTAGGATTTAAGACAAAGTTTTCATATCAGTGACTTAAATGATATGAGTCAAACAATTCAAGGATTTATGATGTCTAGGGAGGACAGTGATCTCCTCGATAACAACTATGACATGATGCTTGAAGATGATTATGAGGATACACCCAAATATAAGTATGCAATGCTTCAAGACGATATATGAATAGCCAAAATGATCAAGCTAATTATTCAAATAGAGAGAAATAAATTGTAAGTTACTAATTTGATAAGAGCCCCAATGTAAGAACATTATTATCAGAATCAATGTATAATTTGGAATAATTACAAAATTTGCATATTCTCAAATGCTATTCATCCGGGGTTTTGGGGTTTTGGGGTTTTGGGGTTTTGGGG